ATTGAGAATAATTTCGTTGATTTGCTGTCAACAATATTACGAAGTCCTCACTCAAATTTTCAGTCTCCTTAATATATTTTGCTATATTAATCGAAGTAATTCTAGATAGGATAACCTACATATCTATTTTCTTTGAAAATATGTTTCTTTCATTGCCCCGAAAATATTTGCACTTATTTAAGACTCACCCTGTAGAAAGAATAAAAAGGATAGATCGTTTCCAGCGAGGTTTTCAGACATCTATTACCGAAAAATTATATTTACTCATGAATTTTGGTACTTTCTATAGTCGCCATGGACATCGGACGCTTTTGTGATGCTTTTGTGTCACGAATTCGCCTATAAAGGTGCGTATTCATTATCCGAACGAACGAATGAAAGTGCGGTATATTTAGACGGGGACCGAACGCATGCGGCCGTTCGTTCGTTCGACCATCCGTTTCGAGTCGGTACATCAAAGGCGTTCGCGTCCGGTCTTCTCGTGCGGTTCTATCGTACGGTCCCCGTCCATACTACTAGCGAACACCTTAAAGGTGCGTATTCATTATCCGCACGAACGAACGAACGAACGAACGAATGTTCGCTAGTGGTATGGACGGGGACCGCACGATAGGACCGCACGAGAAGACCGGAGGCATTTGTTGGCGAACGCCTTTGATGTACCGACTCGAAACGGATGGTCGAGCGAACGAACGAACGAACGGCCGCATGCGCTCGGTCCCCGTCTAAATATACCGCACTTTCATTCGTTCGTTCGTTCGTTCGGATAATGAATACGCACCTTAAGGTTGCGCATCATATTTTTTCGTTTAATCAACGAAAAAAAAAATAAAAATAAAATTAATTATGAATGCGCTATAGATTCCATGAACATAGCATGGATGAAGACAAAACCTGAGACAAAATGCGCGTTAGCCAAATATGCGTAATATATTTTCATTCCATGAATTTCCTCCTTTAGTGCAGATTTCAGGTTTCTGTCTATTAAATATTTCAATTTAATAAAAATTATGGTTTATGAAAATTACTATAGGTACTTTATATTTCCCCTGGTATTATGGATTCTGAAATAACAAATGATATAATTAAATGTTGGCGCCTGCAATATCAGAAGAGGAAATAGTCAGTCTATCAGTACCATGCAAATAAATATGTTGTTATATTGAAAAAAATATGTTATTCAGTTGAACGTGTGAAATATTATAATTCTGACCAATATTGAAACCAGAGCTGGGCTGAACGAAATCTTTTTATCGCAACTAATGTCAAAAGTATATTTTTTCGTAGAAAATAATAACAATTTTTAATTTAGTAATAGTACTAGTTCTGAAAAAAAAAACACAAAAATTCAATCAGGGTACTGCGAGAAATTTAACTCACTTTATGTAAAATGCATTTGGGGTTGAAACCTTGGGCTACAATAGCAAAATAAAACAAATAATTTAACTAATTCACCACAATACACCAAAACACTTTACTTTTAACACAAGACGCGTGTTTTGCTAACTATGTTAGCATCATCAACAGATGATTAGACTATGATGATTTATCAGCAGGTGATGCTAAAATCGTTGATTGAAAGAATTGGGAAGATACGTAACCTAGTGGGCGAATTCGTGACAAGGCTGATTTGATTTCCCCTTACGTCTCAAGTGCTGTACGGTGGAGCCACCACTTGTTCTGCGGCCAACGCATAAAACACTTATTTTCTCTAATTCGGCCAGTGAAGACATATCGAAAACGGTGACTTTGACGGTGTGGAACTGAAAACGACAGAATCGCCGTATTAGAATGTGTAATATCTGTAATACGTTTGACGAAAATGTCTTTAGATGAAAAATCGGCATTTAGGTATTGAAAATTTATTCGTGTTAAACATAGAATAAATAACAAAAATAAAAATTATTTTATAGGTACTGAATATTTCGTATCGTCGAAAAAAGTAGTTTAGTTGGCTTGGAAATGACGATTATTGACATTTACCATAATATTTTACATATGAAATAACACTGATCTTCATTTGCAAGCTAATTCTGACGCCGGCGCCGGTCTTTGTTTAATCATAATATAATCACGGCATATAAATCACACGGCAGGCTAACGCTGCCCAGACTCCATTGTTTAAAATTTCTCTAAAATTTGACCTTGAAAACACCATTATGGGTGCCGAGTCAGGGCCGGATTAAAACGTATCAAAAAATTTCCCAGAAAATAAACTATTGATAGACAGGGTGGTATTAAAAAATAATACTGTAAACTTTTATCTAGACAAATGAATCGTAAACCGCGCATACTCTTCGAGAAGTAAAAATGATAAAATCAATTAAACATTTAACTGTAGAGAATAGACAATTAAAATTAAAAAACATGCCAGAAGTTACAAACAAGAATTAACAAACTACCCAATAAAGTATCTGTTGAACAATATTAAGAGGCCACGTACATATGACCATCAATGGACGCGGATGTCGAACGTAGCAAATTTTGAAAAAATTTGAAAGTTTCGATGAACCGGATGAACTTAATCGATGTTGTGCGCGTTCAGGGAACACGGTGGCTGACCGACCGCTGAGAATTTTGCTCAGCGGCTGACTGTTTTTGTGTGTAAAAAGAGACCGTTTAGGGGGAAATCGCTTACTCAGCCACTCAGCCGCTGACCGTCCCTGAACGCGTACATTGTGTTCTATGTGTTGATGATATGAATATCAAGTGCAATTTATTTTATAATAGTGGTCATGATAATATTATCACACACTGGTCGTGATAATATTATAACAATATTATAAGTTTTGAGGACCAGCTCGGGTGTCTAATGTTGTTATAAGGTTATTATGGTAACTGGTATCTTTACCAATTGGAAGCGATCCCTAGCTTATTTTTTTATCGCACTACATCCCAGGTAAACATTTGAAGGAAATTGTATTTGACGCATTTATTAAACTTAAAAATATTGATATGAACGATATTTTATTAATAAGTGATATAATATACACTACCAAACCACTGTTATATTAAAAATGTTCAGAAAAACAAAATATAACACACAAGAAACGAAAATAAAACTACAAAAACCAAATATATCACACATAATAAACAAAAATAAAACTAAAAAAACAAAATATATCACTCAAGAAGAGAACGAAATAAATTAAGCCGCACGATACTGACTCAAAGCTTCCGTAACTGTATGTTGTCGATGACAAAAACTACGACTGACTCCGACACTGGTTAATTTCTGTTGCTGGCACTCATAATGGCGGCGCCGGCGTGCGCAAAGATATGCGCGTAGCGTTTCCGCCAAAGCGAGTCGGCCTGCCGTGTGATTTATATGCCGTGATATAATATTATATTCAATTATTTAATGATCGATTATTCTCGTCGATCGTATTATTAACGTACTGTACCCCAAATCCATAAATCTACACATTAATCCGTAGTTCTGGCAACACTGTCTCCGGCAATCACCCACTCTGTCGACTGAAAACAGCACTACAGTTCTACGGTACAGTATTCTTTATGCGCTGCGCTGTAAACGACTATCAGTGCAGCGGCGCAGAGTTAAACTAAATCTCGAACATCCTGACGGTAACGCCAGCTACATCTCGGACATCTTTTGTGCCACGAAATCGCCCATAAGATTGCGCATCTTCTTATTTTTTTTTTGTGTTTCATTTTGCCACTTTATGTAAACTTATTGACCTGATCAAAAGCTTCATTAAGCAAGATTCATATTTGCAGGCACTAAAAAAAAGATAAATATTAATAATTATTTTATTACTAAAATAGCTGATACGCTACTGAAAAAAAAAAGTTCTGGAATTTGCCTCTATTGCATGAATAGGGTAAATAATATTACTTTGATTCCTTCCTTAACCAAAATAAACAATCAAAGTAGAGAACTAATGTGCTTTAACCTGATCTCTCTTTTAATTTAAACGGCGTACAAGAACAAATATATTATGTATAAGCTGCGGGCAACAAAATCCAACAAAGTTGAAAATCGAATATCGTTTCATGGCCAATTTAGTTATACTCGTAGATATTTTCTCATTCTCCTTCATTTTCTCGATGATCAGATTTCTATATAGCAGTTCTTTGTTGCCTTATCTATTATTGACTTTTGTATACATACATACATATATATTTAAACTTATTTTTACTGTAAAAGATTTGCATTACTCAGTCCTACATAAATATCTCAATAAAATGGAATAGCGAAGAGGTCGCTGCGATACGTTATCTGGTTAACAACAAATAGAATTGTTGTTTCCCGATATTTTATTCTTATGTTTATGTTGCCTACTAGTATTATTTCATTGTCGAGTGATTTTTAAAACGAGCGTATTGTTTCTAGTACCGCTAACTTCATTACGTTGGATTGCCTTCGATGGAAACGCTTAAGTTTTGCATTCTATTATCGTTAATTGTTTATTTTACGTTCTCCGTAGAAATAACGATATCTGGGAGTGACTGTAATTGATTGTTCCGAGTGTGAAAGTGAAATAACTAACTACTCCAACTTCTATCACGAACGGGACCGAGAATAAAATACGTGATGTAAAATAACCAGAAATTATCAACTTTTGACAGACTCCGAACGGTTTTAGAAATAAAGTAGTCAACGAAAATGTGTTATTGTCAAAGTGTAAAGTAAATAGACTTTCGATACAAAGGAGAACATTATTGTTTAAAAGAATATCCGCGTATAGTTTGGTGGCAAAATGTTGAAACACGCTTTAAGAACATCGTACGATCTGGAATCAAGACCCTACTATGGAAAACGGATGTCTCTAGCGGACATAAGGATGCGAAGGAGGGAATCTGGAATCTACGAAAATATTCAGATAACAAAGAAATATTTGCGAAGAAAAAATTCGATATCCTGGCCTAACTCTACATGTATAGAAAGCGACGACTGCTCGGAGGTATACACATGTCTCCTATTTGTTTACCTTTATTTTTGGATTTTGTACAATTTTAACTCTTAACTTTTGTTACAGATCGACTATCCAGACATAGATCAAGGAAGAAGAATACAGAACTCTCCTCTAATGGAACACAGACCGCATAGACCTATAAGCATAATGTTCGATGACACTGTAAGTACCGCTACACAGATATACTTCATGCAACATTGCTGATTTATTTCAAGTCTATCTTTTACTTACATAATTTTTGAGAATGTTTGCTTTCAACACTGGACGCGCGTTTCGCTAACCATGTTAGCATCATTTCTAGGTGATTTAAACAAGTTTATTTAAACTCAGTTTAAATCATCTGCTGAAGACGCGTTATTAAATTTAAGGTGTTTTGGTGTATTGTAGCAAACGAGTGTTTTATTTTGCTGTTAACTGATATTTAATAAATCTCAACTACTGAGGAGAAAAAAAGATCTGCAATATATTTTGGTCTTATAGTTTTCTATTCTTTTATTGGCTATTTCTATTACCATCATTAAATTTGAAAGCTAATTCTAAATTTAATCTCATCAAATATATCTCTTTCGGCTTTCTTTTTTTGATGATTACGTTTATTTATTTTACGAAAATCTCCACATCTTTTTTTCCAAAAGATGTGCAGATTTTGTTGCAATGATGTGCAGTGTGTTTTTGTAAAATTATAACCTCGAATTAAAATTTGATTTCTTTGTTGATGATTTTGTAAGTTACTGGTTTAGTTGGCATTAGAGGCATTTTTAATTTAAGTGACAGCAAAATGTTTTGTGTTTAAGAAGTTTTTATAATTATCTATACAGGGTGGTCCGAACTGTATTCCGAAATCTTCGGCAGCATATTCTGCAGATAAAAATAAGTAAAACAGTTCGTATAAATATATGTCCTAAATTGCTTAGTTTCGGAGATACAGGGTGTAGAAGTTTCATTTTTATTTTGATTTTTTCCAAATAATTTATGAAGTAACGTCAATATTTGGATGACAATTAGTGTCTGGGAGTTTTTTGACATGAGAAATTTGATTTTGATATCAATATGATTCGTACTTGTAGAGTGCGCCACCTACATATTTTTTAAATGGCTTGAAGAAAAAAATACAAATTTCCCAGATTTATTATTTCAGTCAAGTAATTGCTTAAGCTTGATTTTCATGCATCCGTTATACGTTGGTACGTTGGTCCGACGATGCTCTGATTGGTCATAGCGTTTTCGCGCCACTTTTCATCCGTAAATATTTTACTTCAGCCCGTCAACGGACCCGTTCATACGACAACGGACGTTTTGACACTTTTTTGACAAATTTAATCTAACAATAATAAAAATATAAGTAAAATAGCAAAATCGTTATGGAAACGAAAATATAAAATAACACCAACGTATATCCGATAAACGAAGGCATGAAAATGCAATAAATTTAAAAACTGCGTTATTTTCTAACCAATCAAAGTCTTTAAATTCTACCAATACCAATAAAATTAATATCGTATCAACGTATCGTCGGACAACAGATGCATGAAAATCAAGCTTTACTTGTTTTTTTTTTTTGTCAATAATGACATGTATTGACTATTTCCATTCTAAATATCTTGAGAACGATTTTTACCAAAAGACATTTTTTACGTTAAAAGTCACGGAAATGTATATTTTTTTACACAGTAGTTTTATACAGGTACGGACGAAAAGTTATTAGTCTTCAAAACAGTTAAAACACATGTAGGTTACGCCCACTGTAAATAGGAGACATGTTGACATCAAAATCAGATTTCTCGTGTCAAAAAACTCCCATACGCCAATTTTCATTCAAATAGTGACGTTACTTCAGAAATTATTTGGAAAAAATCGAAATAAAAATGCATCTTCTACACCCTGTAGCTTCGAAACTAAGCATTTTAGAACATACCTTTATACGAACTTTTTTACATATTTTTATCTGCAGAATATGCTGCCGCAGTTTTCGGAATATATGTAGTTCGGACCACCCGGTATAATAATGTTACTAGTAATTTTGCTGATCGAATTTTACAAATTATTTTTTGTTCAGTTAAAGGGTGTTACCACAGAATATCTAGCTACGCAACAGAAGCCTCGTTACATGTATAAAATTGTAGGTAGCAAAAGGAGACAGGCTTTAAAAGTCTGTCTCCAAATCAGATATTTTGATGTGGTAGTTTCGCTACTACATAATAGAGGGCAATAAATTTAAAAGAAAACAGTTTTCTACAAACAAAATTTAGAAGAATTTTGTGCAGTGTTGCCATTGTGTAATTCATATCGAATACTTCCTGATAAAGCCTACCTTCAAATTTGCTACATCATTTAAACATATTAAAATAGATCAGAGCTGTTTTTTTCAGTTTGCCATGTTAGTTGGAATTAAATCTTATGAGCTAAATTACAACCACTTCCTGACGTTTGATTGTATAATTGAATCCTGAATTTTCATTGTAATTCGGCGACAATATAATAAGTATTGTTCTACTATTAAGATACCACTTCCTGACGTTCGATTGTGTTCATACCAAGTTCATATTGTATAATCGGGAAAAAACGGCGTTAACGATAGCTATGAAATGAATATCACTGTCATTTTATATGTAAATTTATATGGGAAATGTCATCGACCGTCCTTTTCCAGCCAACTGGCCGCCGTTTTTTTCAGAAGCATATCAAGTGATACCATAATATAGTACTATATTACGATACATGGCGTTCGATTGGGCTTAAACTTGGTATACTATATCTTCAGTGACATTGTAATATCATGGTACCATGGAGCATATAAAGTGGTACCTTCCATAGTACCATATTTGATGACATAGCAATATTAGGTACATGGCGGCAATAGGGCTTAAACTTGGTATACTACGTATTTTCGGTGACATTGTAATATGATGGTACTATGATGCATATCCATCTGGTACCATAATATAGTACCTATATATTATGTACATGGCGTTCGATTGGGCTTAAATTTGGGATACTACGTATCTTCGGTGATATTGTAATATTATGGTACCATGGAGCATAATAAGAGGTACCATAATATAGTACCATATTACGATACCATTTCCTGGCGTTCGATTGGACTTAAATTTGTTATACTACGTATCTTCGGTTACATTGTAATATGATGGTACTATGATGCAAATAAAGTGGTACCTTAATATAGTACCATATTTCAATACCATTTCCTGGCGTTCGATTGAGCTCATATTTGATATATACTTGCGTATTTTTGATGACATTGCATTATTATGGTACCATGAAGCATATCAACTGGTACCATAATATAGTACTATATTACGTACATGGCATTCGATTGGGCTTAAACTTGGGATACTACGTATTTTCGGTGACATTGTAATATGATGGTACTATGATGCATATAAAGTGGTACCTTAATATAGTACCATATTACGATACCATTTCCTGGCGTTCGATTGGGCTCAAACTTGGTATACTACGTATCTTCGGTTACATTGTAATATGATTGAACTATGATGTATATAAAGTGTTACCTTAATATAGTACCATATTACGATACCATTTCATGGCCGTTCGATTGTTCTTAAATTTGGTATACTACGGATCTTCGGTGACATTGCAATATTATGGTACCTTAAAGTATATCGAGTGGTACCATAATATAGTACACTATTATGATATCATTTCCTGGAGTTCGATTGGGCCCAAATTTGGTATGCTTGCGTTTCTTTATAAAGATTTGTTTAATTAATAATTTTAATTTATTTTACGAATTTTAATTTATTGTTCGATGTCGTCATGTCGTGATAGCAACTTTTATGCCGAACTAATATATTATTAATTGTACCTGTGTCACTTTTTAAAATCTACCTAGGTCTATATAAATAACGTGGCAAACGGAAGAAATTTGTTATTATAGTATTTTTTAGTCAGTTAATATTTTTTGTACTGCATTTTAATAAATTATTTCCATTATTATTAAACTTATATTTCATTACTAACGTTCCAGCATTAATAAATATCACTATCAATCGCCCTGTATATTATTAATTTTAAAGGTAATTAAAGGTATTTTCTTGGTTAACATTATAAGGTAGTGTATATTAAAAATGTATATGTTTTGTAATAGTATACTTAAAACTATTTTAATAGCCAAAGGAATAATTAATATAAGTGTATCTGACAAGAAAAGAAGAATAGAAAGAAACACATACTGGCATTATACACAATAAGGACTTCTGCTAGTCCGTTAATAGATACAAATTAGATTTTAAGTACTTACTATATTAATTAATTCTACAGAGTGGTGATTTGAAGGAAATCAATATCTATTGTAAATAAAGTAAGTACATAGTATGATAGTTCTAATAAATTCAAGATGATTAAGAATCAACTGGATAATAAATATCATCCATACAAGCATCACGCTGACAGTCCAACAGACAAATCTAAATCAATAGTATTTGTATCTGAACATTGATTACAGTTGGGGGTTGCAACATTTGCTGTTATAACAGCAATATAAAACACTAATTCACCATAATAAACGAAAACACGTTACTTTTACACTGAACGCGCGTTTCGCGAACTATGTTGCCATCGTTTTAAAGATCGCGCACACTATACCTACACGGACCAGTACGGACCAGCACAGCACAAACCTGCATCCTGCACGACGTCGCACACTTTACCGCCACAGACCAGCAACATAAGCGAGAGTTTTGAAAAAAGTACAGTTGTCAAGGCTCAACTACTAGATCGTGCAACATAGAAGTATTGAAAATGAGTAGTTCAGAGGAAGAAATTATTATTTTAGCCATGTTGTGTGAAAAAGACGAGGAAGCTAAGAAAAAAAGAAGATTTTGGGTTCGCCCTATAAATCAAAAGAGAAAGCAATATGGCGAATTTCATCATTTGTTTCCTGAATTAAAAAGATTCGAAGAAAAGTTTTTCCAATATTTTCGAGTGTCACAAATCAAATTTGATTAGTTATTTTTTGCTAGCTCCTCCCATATTGCATCTTTTCTTTCTTGGTCTCTATAAAATGCGTGGCTCGTATCCCACAGCTCTGGATACTTTTGTACCAATAAAATAAGCTTTTCTTCATTCATATTTAAAACGATTTGAAGGTTCGAACAAAAATAAACGAAATCTAACCTACATCATGCGATTTGAGCCAGCTAGCGTACTCGAAATACTGACAAACCCTTCAATATTTGCATGTTTGTGGAGGTGTGCTGGTTCGCCGGTGCGCACATTAGGTCGGACCAGCACGAGGGGCATAAATATTGCTGGTCATATTTGTCCCTGACCGGCACGACCTGTTTTGACGGTCGTGGCTTGTGGCGGTACGTGCTGGTGCTGGTCTAGTGTGCTCTACTCTATTAAATAACACGGTCACCTTCACCGGTAGATTCTACTGATCTGGTCCGTGCCGGTCCGTGTAGGTATAGTGTGCGCGATCTTTAAGATTTATAGTAAGTTAAACTTCTACTCGCCCCAGCCATATCTGAAAAATTAAAGTTATTCATACATAACGGTCTATTTTACTGTTGTTGATCTCGCTTTTATCTACTATTTTATCTGTATCCCAATACTTTACCCACAAACCATGAACAACCGATCACCCCTGTTTACGGCGTCATTGAATACAATAAATCTTTTGATAAACTTACATTTTTTTCATATATTTGTCGAGATTTATACTAGAAATATATAAGCTCCTATCTGATGGTATAGGGAGAGCTATTTTTCATTATAATTTAATTTATATCATTTTTTCTATATTTCATATCAAGATATCGAAATTTGTTAAAGGTAGTGTTATTATTATCAATAAGGTTATAAGGTTATTATCAAAAAGTTATAGTTAATATTGTCACGGCCCATTTTGTGGGTTATGACTAGGGGCATAGCGGAATGAAACAGATGTACGTTTCTAAGCATCTTGTAATATAATTAGGGTCAAGTTTCGTTTAGCCGAAATCTGTTAAAAAAGAAAAAAACTTTTTTTTGCCATTTAGGTACCTCAGGGAGTATATTACTGAAAAAAATTTGCCGCGGAAATGCGTCACCATTTTTTGAATGCGGTTTAAAAGTAACGAAATGACATACATGAAAAATTAATATTATTTCATATTTTAGACGTCTTTGTAAATACTAATACGAAAATAAAATTCCGCGGAAATGCTCTGTTGCCATTTTTTGAATACGGTTTAGAAGTAACGAAATGAGATAAATAAAAAAATTATATTATTTTATATTGTAGACTTATTTTTAAGCACCGATACAAAAATGAAAATCCGCGGAAATGCCTTGTTTCACCACTATGCAGTGTTCTTCTTCCCGACCTTTGACACAGATCAATGAATAATATCTATTCTTATCAACTTAATATCGCTATGGTCAATAAATGCGAAAATTAAAAAAAAATTGTCAATAAAGCATAAAAACGACAACTAAACCAAACCAAACCCTAAAAAAACAACCAAATCAAACCAAAACAAATAAACCCACTACAACAAAACCAACTACAACCAAACGAAACCAAACCGAAAGTATGCAAAAAAGTTGAGAATACTATGAAAAACTTCATGAGAATACTATAGAATACTATGGAAAATATTAAAGATTTTCTATTACACCGCCCTTATGATAAATTTCCGCGGAAATAGTTATATAGAAAAGTTATAGCAAATTATTAATCAAACAAAAATATGTAATTTTTATCTTCCTATCACATTTAGGCACTTCTAAACCCGGAAAAATCAATGAAAATTATTGTGATAAAAATATATTTTCGAATAAAAATTAGTTCACGTCTTTATATTAAATGTTTTTACGTCATTCTATAATGAAAAAAACTATTAAAAGCACCGTAAAGTTTTAAATTTTAGTTAATAATAGAAAAATAAAAAATTCGAGTTTTCACAAAAACAAAGAATTTCCACGGCAAAAATCAAATTATGTAGTGCTAGTTTTCTTGTATAGAATCATCGTATAAACCGATATTCTATGTAACTGATTTCGGCTAAACGAAACTTGAGCCTATAATTATTTATAATTCAGTTAAAAATCATTCGCAAGAATAAAACAGGTTGATATACTTTATTAAAAACACCTGCGCTATGAAATTTTCGAGGAAAGTACTGAAGATTAAAAAAATTAACAAAAAATATACCTAGAAACATTAACCATTCGTTCAGTTCATTTTAAGTAACTATCCTCTAATGAGGAAATGAAAAGGTCAGTGATTAGATGATAGTTACTGATTAAAAAGACGTTCTATCTCTTTAGTTTTTTTTTTGTTTTGTCTAATTTTATTTTACATATCTATACCAATATATAAAATCCTTAAGTGACTCTGACATACTGATTAATCACCATCCTGCTTAAACCACTCAACGTAAGAAGCTCAATTTTGGCATACACGTTGATTCTAGGGTGTAGAGGTTCGATAAGAAGGGATTTTCGAAATTCCAGTTCCAAGAGGGTGAAACCACCCCTCAACTATTACAATATTTTTTATTAAAAACGCTTAAACACGTTTTTTTTAACGTATATTATTTTTTTTCTTACATATTTTAAGATTTTTTAAAAATGTATACAGGGTGTTTCGAAAAATCTGGTCATTGATTAATTACGATCCTGCTTAAAGCGCTTGACGTAAAAAGCCGATTTTTGGAAAACAGATTGACTTTAGGGTGTAGAGGGTCAATAAGAAGGGATTTTTCGAAACTCGAATTCTAAGGGGGTGAAACTATCCCTCAAATATTAAAATATTTTTTATTTAAAAACCGGTGAGTTTTTGGGAAAAACTCTTAAACACGTATATTTTATTTTGTTGTTTTACATATTTTAAGATTTTTTATAAATTTATACAGGATGTTTCATAAAATATGACCATTGAGTAATCACGATTCTGCTTAAACTGCTTGAAGTTTAAAGCTGATTTTTGGCAAGCGGATTGACTGTGGGGTGTACAGGTTCGATAAGGAGGGGTTTCTCGAATCTCAAATTCCAAGAGGGTGAAAACGCCCCTCAAATATTACAATATTTGTTATTTAAAAAACGGTTAGTCTTTCGGGACAAGCATAATTTATTTGGTTTCTTTACACATTTTGAATTTTTTTTAAAAATCATACAGGGTGTTCCAAACAGTTGGGTAATTTCTTAACCACGATTCTGCTTAAACTGCTTGACGTAAAAAGCTTATTTTTGGCAAACGTATTTTTCGAAAGTCAAATTTCAACGAGATGATATCAATATTCAAATATTCAACCCTCAAATATAACCAAGTTATATAATAATATCGCCATATTGTTTTTTCTCATGCTGACATAAATGTGAGAAAATTTTATCCAGTTTGTATGTTAATGGAAATTCTTGCTTTGCTTTATCATCACCATTACAAATTATTAATTCGCCGCGAACGAAGTCGCTGGTACACGCTAGTTGATATACAATTCATTTATTTTTTCCAGTATGGCGGTCATCCCCATAACAGTATTCCCCGACCAAGTTTATACCATAAATGCTCTAGAGGGTCCCATTCCTCAGATACCTCTTCTGCGTACAGTGGATCAGATACCATGGCATCGACGCACTCAGAACTGGACGGAGAAGAGCCTGATCTATCAGGACTCGTTGAGAGTATCGTTGACAGCGACGAAGAAGACGATTTGGCCGAAAGCATGGACGTAAGAATAGAAACTCTATATTTATCCATTTGAAATTAAATCATACCAATTTTTATTTCAGAGTTTAACCGTAAGAGATAGGGTAAGAGACTGTTTGGAGAAAGAGCCAACAGAACGAACAGACGATGATATAGAAACCCTGCTAGAATTTACGCAGCAGTTAAAAGCTTTTAACAATATGACTTTGGCTGTTCGACGTGCCCTTTGTGCAGTAATGGTATTTGCGGTGGTCGAGAAAGCTGGCACCATTGTCATGAATGATGGCGAAGAATTAGGTAAATGAATACGTTTATTATATTATTATAAATCTAATGGTTTATTTCATAGATTCTTGGTCGGTTTTGGTTAATGGAAGCGTGGAAGTTGTCATATCTGGTGAAGAGAATCAGACTCTCAACACCGGAGATGCTTTCGGTATCCTCCCGACTATGGATAAACTGTACCATCGTGGTATTATGGTCACCAAATGTGACGATTGTCAATTTGTCTGTATTACACAGTCAGACTACTACAGGTACTTTTTTATTTCTAAGGATGACTGCAACGACGGCGACGTCCCGTAATCCTGCTGTTAAAACATAACAGCTGGTTTTTATATGCAGGGTGGTCAGAATTGTATTCCATAAACTTCGGCAGCATATTCTGCAGATAAAAATAAGGTAATTATTGGGAAAACTGGAAATCTATTTTGAGGTCGTAGATTACGAATCTGATCTTTTTTTGGCGGTCTCTTACCGTTTTTCAGAAAAACGGAAAATTATTTCAACATTGAATTTTTCTTAATTTCTCATATTTTTAAAGTTTTCTAGCACCTATTTTGTTAGGTATTCAATAAACAATGATGTTTTTGCTATTTTATGTTTCATGTTACTTTTTTAACCATTTCTATGCATAATAGACGAAAACTGCTAAAATAAATTTGTAAACAATCTGAAAATGTTGGGTTATGTGTTTCTGGCATTTAAAGCAACGATGCCAATGCTAAACCTAAATTTAGCGTGTTTTTTTCGCTCATTCTGGGATTACGAAAGGCGGTCGCCAGAAGAACGGCTCCTTCCCATAATTGCTATTTTACCAACGAGATCTGACTATTTATAACCACGAAGTTGAACGAAAGAGTTTTGATTGCATTGGTTACAACTTCCATGCGGAGGGTGTTAATCTTTTGTTGTTATATTATATCAAAAAAAGATTAACCCCCTCCGCAAAGAAGTTAAAACTAATGCAATCAAAACTCTTTATATAACAACAAAAGATTAACACCCTCCTCATAGAAGTTGAAATCAATGCAATCAAAACTCTTCCGCGTGTGGATATAGGTAGGTATATTTAATTATTGTCGATCTCATAATAGGTTTATTTAAAATATCTAATCACCCGAAAAAATAGAAAATATTGCAACGTTGTAAATTATCCAATTTCTAGATTAGGTCTAAACCATGGTACAAAGAAAACAAGGTATGATCGATAGCGGCTCCAATTTCGTTAAGTTTGCGCATACCACCTGTGACGTCATACGCCATACAAAAAAATATTCATATTGTCCAATTGCCACTAATAAAAAAAGACCTAAAATAGGGAAGAATTAGGACATAACCCCAAAAGTTATGTCAAATCATCGAGCTTGACACTTGAAAAATTATTTTCACATTTATTATGTCATCTGTTTGACAATTTGAAATTGGCGCGCAGAGCTTGCCGACCAATGGTGCCGTTTATCACCTGTGACGTAGTGACCAACCTGCGCAATATCATACCTTGTATTCTTTGTATCATGGGTCTAAACTATATTTGTCTCTTTCATTACATAGGAGAGAGAAAGAAGGATATATCAAATGTCAAACTTTCATCTGGTCTCAATTTTCTTTGTTATTTTGTTAACAAAAGTGTTTTTCAGTAAAATTTTGGACATTTTTCTATCCTCAATCAAGTGTGGCTTTTACATAAACTATAATGACAATATAGCGAAATTATTACTTTATAGGGCCGAAATAAAGAAAAATTCAATGTTGAAATAATTTTCCGTTTTTCTGAAAAACGGCAAGAGACCGCCAAGAAAAAAGTTCAGATTCGTAATCTACGACCTCAAAATAGGGTGTATACCAATTTTGGTGAAATTCTGACGATTTCCAGTTTTCCCAATAATTACCAAAAATAACTAAAAAAGTTCGTATAGTAGACGCCACGAATGTTTGGGAGTGATTCGTCGCTTGATGAAGTTAGAATCGACACGCGCGCTATCATTTTTACATTAAAAACGTAAATTTTTACCGCAGACGTAGGTTTTTAAAGGCCCGGTCTAATCATCTGCCTGCGCTCCTCCTACTTATTCTAAAATGTTAGCGTGATTGACAAAGACGATACTATATCGCGTTTCTTTGATTGATTCGTTTTTGTGCGTCAGTCCATTGGTGTGCTTGCAGTGCGACTAATGGGGCATTCCATTTTATGTTTATAACCAAATATATGTTTTGACAAGACTTTGACAGTTAAAACAACAAATTACAATAGATTATATATTGATTATTATATGACTTGAAACACCACGGCACTGGAATTAAGTTTTATGTGACCTTGAACAGATTAGTTCACATGGTAGCGACCGATGAATCACTTCCAAACGATCGTGGCGTTTACTATATAAATGTATGTCCTAAAATGTTTCATTTCAGAGATATAGGGTGTACAGTACGTCTGCTGGATCTGTGTCTATGAAAGGAATGCGGACAAAAAACATTTAAATAAACCAATATATTTTATACGTCGACTTGACGAGTACGTCACCGCAAATCGCTCCGCCCACTCATTTTGTTGGCTACTTGCAAATCTGTCGAATTTTTATTGATGGGACGCGTCGTCTATTTTTTACGAAAAACATCGAGAGAATATCGTTTCCCCTCTCACGGACACCCCGTAGCTACAGAACGGACAGACGTACTGTAGAAATTTCATTTTTATTTCGATTTTTTTCAACTAATTTCTGAACTATAGTCGGTATTTGGATAAAAATTGGTGTCTGGGAGTTTTTTGGTATGAGAAATTTCATTTTAATGTCAATATGACACCTACTTGTAGGGGGCGCCACCTACATGTATTTTAACTATTTTGAAGAGTAATAATTTTTTTGTTCCGTACCTGTGTAAAACCTACTGAGTGAAAAAATATAGATTTCCGTCATTTTTTACATAAAGAATGCCTCTTGGTAAAAATCGCTACGAGCAACCGTTCTCAAAGTATTTAGAATGGAAATAGTCATTACATGTTATTATTGATAAAAAAATAAACATGTTGAGTATAGTTAGTTATTTGACTGAAATGATAAATTTGGCAACTTTTTATCTTATTAAATTAATCATAAATTTTTCTTCAGAAAAATTATGATAAAACAGTTTCTGTTGACCTTTTGGCACAAAAGCATTTCAAATGTATGATTTCAGTTTAATAACTAGTTAGTCAACATGTTTAATTTATGTCAATGATGACAGATATTGATAATTTCGATTCCAAATATCTCGAGAACTGTTACTCGTAGCGATTTTTGCCAAGAGATGTTTCTTACGTAAAAAACGTCGCTAATGGATATTTTTAACTCAGTGGTTTTATACAGGTACGGACAAAAAGTTATTACTCTTCAAACCAGTTAAAAAATATGTAGGTGACTATAAGTAGGAGTCATATTGACATCAAAATGAAATTTCTCATACCAAAAAACTCCCAGACACCAATTTTGATCCAAATATCGACGTTAATTCAGAAATTAGTTGAAAAAAATCGAAATAAAAATGATATTTCTACACCCCGTATCTCCGAAACTAAGCTTTTTAGGACATTATACAAACTTTTTTAGCTATTTTTATCTGTAGAATATGCTGCCGAAGTTTCCGGAATACAGTTCTTTAATCGCTTATTCTCTAACAGCAGGATTACGGGACGTCGTTGCAGCCACCATAAGAAATTTTATTTCACTTCGAAATTAACTAATTATTTCATAGGATATTACATCAAGGTGAAGAAAACACCAGGAGGCATGAGGAAGACGGTAAGGTAGTGATGGTCACGGAATTAAGAGGATCTGTAGAACCAAGTTCGAATAGACGAGGTCACGTAGTGATTCGGGCGACCCCAGACCGTCTCATGCAACAACTAATTGAAGAAAATTCTCTTACCGATCCCACTTATGTGGAAGATTTCCTTCTCACCCATAGGGTATTCACTCCTAGTTCCTTACATATTGCCAATCAGCTTTTAGGATGGTTCAAAGATCCCGAAATTCGAGATAGAGTGACTCGCGTCGTGTTGCTGTGGGTCAACAACCATTTCACCGATTTCGAAACCGACCCGGACATGATCGAGTTTTTAGAAACTTTCGAACAGGGGCTCGAAAATGAACATATGGGCGGACAATTGAGACTGTTAAATATCGCGTGCGCGGCTAAGGCTCGTATTAGGAACGTGGTGCTCGCCAGACCTAACAGAGACGAACCTCTCAGTTTCCAGATTTTGGGTGGGTTTGAACGGAACTTTGGCATATTCATTTCGAAGGTGGATAAAAAATCTAAAGCCGAAGATGTAGGTTTGAAAAGGGGCGACCAAATTTTAGAAGTGAACGGTCAAAGTTTCGAACATGTGTCTCACGCTAGGGCTTTGGAAATATTACGCGGTACTACCCATTTGAGCATTACTGTGAAATCAAACTTGTTGCACTTTAAGGAAATGTTAAATACTCCCGATAATTCGCCCAGACCTAGAAGCAGAAAGGTCTCTGAAATTTCGAAAATTCAGCATGATCCTAGGGCGAGATTATCCAGCGTGGATGGAAACATCATTATGGGTCATGAGACCTTATGTTCTCAACCAGTTACCATCAACAGTCCTCAAAAGGAAGGGAAAAAACCGATGTTCTCCACTATGGGGCCCAAGAGAAGATTACAAAAAGCTTTAATGAAAATGAACATTTTACCCAAAAATATTATCAAGTAAGTGATTTTGTCATTGCATTTATTTTTTCTTATAAACTTACACATATTAAATTAAAAGAAACTGCAGAACTCTAAAAAGTCTGTCTAACAGAAGATACACATGATAGTGACAGTTGTTCTCTGCCATTTTAATTCGAAGTTGAAATGTTTCTTAACTCGTTAGATAGACTTTATATTTTGTCATTTGTCATTGAACATTGAATGAAAAATCTAATTTATTTATCATTTTTAGTATTGGAACCGATCAAGTAGATAGTATAAATTCTCCGTCAAATTTGACAAGCCATCTATATCAATCACAGAGCAACCCTGACCTTATGTCAATCTGTTATGACGACCTTCGATGCACAGACTATCCAGAACATGTTTTGAAGGTAAATTGTTTAACATTTTTAAAATGGAAACAGATTATTTATTTCCTTATGTAATTTACAGGTATACAAACCAGATCAAAGTTACAAATACTTACTCATTCACAAGGAGACTACCGCTCACGAAGTGGTCATGTTGGCGTTACAAGAGTTTGGCATGACCGATCCAAGTTCCAATTTCAGTTTGTGCGAAGTCTCCGTGACTGACACACAAACAATCAAACAAAGAAGACTGCCCGATCAATTGCAAAATTTGGCCGAACGAATAGGGCTAAGCAGTAGATATTACCTGAAAACGAATGGCGTGACAGAAACTTTAGTACCTGACGAGTTGGCTCCCGAACTAGTTAGGGAAAGTGCTGTGCATTTTCTCCAACTGAATGCTATAGAGGTAAGTTGGTCTCTCTATTATTTATATAAAATAGGAGGTGTCGACATAAAAGCCAATATTTTATACAGGGTTGTTCACCACATACGACACGGAGTATTGTAGCTAAACGATGAGATTTTTACAAATTGTAAGTTTTGGGTTCGATGAAGGACTATTAGAGGTACAATTTAAAAATAATTTTACAAGATACAGAGTGTCCCAAATAAGTAAAAAATATTAAAGTTGTATTTTTTTAAATGGAACACCCTGTATATTATCACATTTTTAGTTTCTACGATTAAAATAAAGGTAAATTTGATTAAGATTTATTATACTTAAACCTTACCGTTTTTGAAATATTTTCAATTTTGTGAAATTGCAGTAAAAATTTTAAGGCTTCATTTCTCCAAGGGTATCAAAGTTTTTAATACTAAATATTTACTTAAGTTTATTTACTGATCAGTTATGTGTTGCAATAATAAAAATAATACTATCTTATACAGAGTGTCTAAAAATTTATTTTATATAATTATTAGCTTCAAACGGCAATAACTTGTTTAATTTAAATGGAACACCCTGTATATTTTACGAGAATCAGATGCACAATTTAATTGTCTATCAAATTATATTATACCATTTTTTACCTATCTCTTTAAGTTACCGCAGAAAATGCATTTTCTTGTAATTTAGAACTTATTTATCAATATACCCATGGACTATTGACATTTTAGATTATTTTTAGAGATGTACCAAATTTTTAAAGAGTACAGATACTAATATTGTCGATATAATTCGTTTATTTCGTTAAAAATAAAAAAAACACTGTTTAAATATTTGTTAAAGAGGACCAATTAATATGATTCCAGTATTCAAATTACATTAACTGACTGTTTGCGTTGATTTATAATAATTGCTCCAAATACTAAAAAACTGAATTTTGTATGGGCATTAGACAGTGTGATAAAAAGTAACACCTTAAAAATGATATATTTCATTTTTTAATAAATGCTTATTTATAACAAGAAAGACTTTAATTTGATAACTTATTGTTATATTGATTTCTGATTCAAAAATCCACATTTATTTATAATAATTTATTAACGAACACAATTAAGTATGTCATTAATTAGTATATGGGCGAAAATAATGGTGTTATATTTTTTAATTAATGGTATACTCTTTTATAAAGATTTAAATAGTTTTCTTTTTGCATACAAATGGGCTAGTAATATTATCGTTTTGCTAAAAACGATAATATTACTAGTCTGTACATTTTGTACATTTGTTGCTTTAAAAACAATCTAAAATGTCAATATTCTATGGATATATTGATAAATGAGGTCTAAATTATAAGAAAATGCATTTTCTACGAAAACTTGAAGGGATAGGTAAAAAATGGTATAATACAATTTGATAGACAATTTAATTGTGCATCTGATTCTCCTAAAATATACAGGGCATTCGATTTAAATTAAAGAAGTTATTGCCGTTTGAAGCTAATAATTATTTAAAATAAATTTTTAGACACTCTGTATAAGGTAGTATTATTTTTATTATTGCAACACAATAACTGATCAATAAATAAACTTCATTAAATATTTAGTATTAAAAACATTGATACCCTTGGAAAAATGAAGCTTTAAAATTTTTACTGCAATTTCACAAAATTGAAAATATTTCAAAAACGGTAAGGTTTAAGTATAATAAACCTTAATCAAATTTACCTTTATTTTAATCGTAGAAACTAAAAATTTAATAATATACAGGGTGTTCCATTTAAAAAAATACAACTTTGATATTTTTTATTTATTTGGGACACTCTGTATCTTGTAAAAATATTTTTAAATTGTAGCTCTAATAGTCCTTCAACGAACCCCAAACTTACAATTTGTAAAAATCTCATCGTTTAGCTACAATACTCCGTGTCGTATGTGGTGAACAACCCTGTATATTACTATCGTCTGTCTCAACATCTAGAGAATATATAGAAGAGAAGGATGTTGTTTGTCATTTTAATACAAAAGTAGAATGTTTTTTCTATCAGTTTGTGTATTGTTTGTTAAAATCGTCCTTTCTCTTGCTAGTAGACTCTTCTTAAAGCGGATTGGTACATAAATTGTTGAATTTTGTTTGTGGAATTACGAAGACTATCAAATACGACTAGTTATAGACTAGAAAGAGGTTTTTACTTTTTTATGTGAGAGGTTTTCTCAAAAGAAAACAGAATACAAAATTCATTAATTTTCTTTTTGATCATGAATATCAAAATCCATCCATTATATTAATTTTCAAATTAATAATATTTTGTTCCTTTATGTTTTATCTATTTTGCATACTTTTTCTAATACATTTAATTTAAATAAAGGAACAACATCTTTTCTACAGCTTTAATTTCCAAAAATGATTGCAGTGATCTATAAATTATAGTACAAGTACCATATGATCGAATAAAAACGGCGTCAGCGATGGCTGGCTATGAAATGAAGATCGCTGTCATTTTAAATGTAAAATTATATGGGAGATGTGTCATCGATCGTCATTTCATAGCCATCGCTGACGCCGTTTTTATTCGATCATATGGTATAATAGACCTTAGGTTAAGAAATTTTAGAGCTAGACTCCTCAGCTGTTCATCAGTTATCAAATTTCTCTCAAATACTGTAGAATTTGTTATAGTATTCATGTGATTTTTATGGGTACTCTGCACAGAGGGAGGAATATGTGATTTCTTATAATAAGCCAATACTTAGATGAGTATTGGCCTATTCACCTGTAATCTTTATAGATCTATAGTGTGACCAACGGATCTGTAGCTACGGGGTATCGGCAGGGGAACGCAGTTGTAAACAAAACACGCCCAATTTCATTCATAAAATAGGCATGGGCGTACGGTGTTATATGAAAATAATGTGTATCATAAATATAATACTCAGATTAATAATTTTTTCAAAAAACTTTTATGCTGTTTGAATCGTTACTGTTGAGTTAGCAGATAAACACTAAAAGCTTTTATTAAAGCTCCCTTAAATATTTTGAATCATTTTATTATTGTGTTGTTAATATAATAGAAGAAATAATTACAGCTGGGGGTTGGAACCTTTGGTGTTACACAGCAAAATAAAACACTAAATCAGTACAATACACCAAAACACTTTTAATTTTACACTGGACCACGTTTCGCTAACCATGTCTGCCATCAGCAGATGATCAAGACTGAGTCTTGAGGTATATTTATTTATATATCTGTACTAACTATATTTTTTTCTATAATACATAATTTTAGATATAACTATTTCCAGCAAAAAAAAATCTTGAAAATAGTTAACTTTGGAAGCGCAAACAAAACATAATTTTACTCATCAGTAGATCTGATATTGCCTATTACACCAGATATGGTATCGCTCCGCCAGCAGTTTTTAAAGGTTAGGTCATTGTCTACCCATATGTTACATCCAAATAGATAATACTTGGCTATATTTTCGAATTTCGCGTATATATATTTATATCTCTCTCTGCAATATAATGGGCCGCTCCATTAATATTTATCTGTTATTTTAACATTTACGCCAAAAAAATTCATTTGATTTTAATAACCCCCTAAGCGTTTCCCTGCAAAAGGAAAATTCGATTCTTCCTGCAATTTTTGCAAAAGCTTTCTAATTGTGGGGACGAGTTTGAATTCGAGATAAAATCTATTTATCAAATTCCTGACCACTTCGAAAAAGTCGTTGAGCTTTTCGACAGCAGTCTCACGTGGTCGTTTCTTTCCAGAGAGGATATCATTTTATCGGGGTTAGTTTTCAGCCTTTTTTTTATCTTCTGTGTGAATTTTTTTATAGCCGATACGCTAACTCCGGTATAAAGAAATATCCGCTCAAGTTTACGTTTAAGCGGCAACTCAAGCGAACTCTCTGTAGCTTCTTCATCGCAAACCCTATTATGAACACAAGGAAATACACCAAATGAGATTTCATCCACGTTATTATTAACTTACCTATATAAATTAGCTATTATTTCTCTTGTCTGACTATGTAGCGTCTTACCCTTAACAAATTTATTCGTTTTAAAACACAAATATACGATCAAACTTGATATTAATAATTAAAAACTACGAACGAAAAACATTATAACAAGATAACAAAACAATAAAACACAACTTAACTATCAAATATACTAAAAATATAGGAATAAAGTTTAGGATAACCGGTATAAAATAATGAAATAAAGTAATAATGATCAAAAAAATGACACCGCCACTGGATATTTCAATAGTATTCAATATTCCTACTCTTTTCAGAAGAGACCGTGAAGTTGGGGATAAAGCAAGCGAATAGGAAAGGCGTAAAAGCCATGGCAACCGCGTGGTAACAAATCCTGTGACGTACTCGCCAATCATGTTCGATGAATAGGCGGCCATGCGCGGCGATGCCGGTTTGCCAATGATATCGTTGAAAATCTTCAACCTTCATAATAGGCAGATTATACAGAATGAAAGAAATAAGTTATTAAATAAAACATATCGAACAATATGAACTACGTTAAAATTCCTTAGTAATATACGTCAGAATATATGCTAAACACATTATATATAATAAAAATATATTAAATTTATAGTTCATGTCTGGCAATTTTGCAATTTTATAGATAAACGTGGCAATATCGATTTTTTTTTCTCGCATTCCTTCCGTAGCTACAGATCCGCTGGTCAAACAGTATTGTGGTCCTCTTTGTATTTATAGCTCTACTTTATTCAGTCCTATCTTTTTTAATAAGACTATTAACATAGTGAGTGAACCCTCTATATAGGCCTTTGCTAATAGCTCATCGTCGCGTAGTACAAAGAACGACCCATTTTCCAGGTTATCGCACTGATATAAATGTGTTTGCCTTTGTTTTCTGATTGGCAGAATCTACACATGGCTCCATCTGTCATTTCCATCAGCTTTAAACGCCCCCTGGTCTTGCAATGCTCTATAAGTAAAACCACTACAGTTTTGACAGTATTCCTGTGTCTGTTTATCAGCGATGTCGTAATTTTTGTTGATTCTATGAATTTGACTACCAACTGTTTTGTAGACATTTTTGTATATGGTTTTGCAGACCCGCAGAAGTATTCTGGAACCTATGAACTGTATTGATGAACCTTGTTTTCGCCTTTTCCTTTGTGACAGGCTAACGCAACGTTGCTACATTCTTCAAGTGTATTTAGATCATGCACACAATTCCATACTATAGTCAAAGAGTAGATAAAACAAGAGACGACAGTTCGCGCGGTACCTTTCATGTTTGAGTGGTGGGGAGAGTGACCTCGTCTCGCTTGTCCCTTTAAATTTTCGTAACTTTTTCGCGGGAAATTTGAAATAGACTATTATTAAAACTTGCCTGTATAGCTTATAAATAGTTACTGTATGGGTAAAGAAATAAATAGAAACGAAAAAAATGAGTTTTCTAAATATTATATAAAATAAATTATAATTAGAAACATATTTGTCGGGGAATAAAGATAATAAAAGCAATATTTTGTATATCGTTGGTAAACAAGATAAAGTGACCAAGTCGATTTGTAAGAAGTGTTTTATTTACGTGTATTTTTTTACATATGGACTTGAACAAGTGTAATATTACCATGAACACACAATAGATCTATAAGGTCGCGGTGTTTAACTCCCTCCATTCTACAATATCACAATGTGGAGTTTATGTACAAAAAAACAGAGTTGCTCAATTTTTTTTGTAAAAATATATTACAAGCTTCTAACCATGTCTTCGATCTATGGATTACATTTAGTTTAATAACATAATTATATAGTATATTTCTATAAAAATACTTTTCAGGATCCTTTGGAAAAGAGTGAAATATTATGTTTGTCGAAGAATAAGACCTATTTTTGCAGTCTTTATAAGCACACACATTGCCACCATCTCGTCTTTTCCTGCTACTCGTGTCCTGTTCAGTATTCATATTTAACAATAATTACAAATTAGTACGCAACAAAAACGATACTAAAATTAAACCTTAAAACTCTCAAAACGATAATATATCGAAAACTCTGAAACACACACTTTAAAAAGGCAAAAATGCAAGAAAACAACTAATCAGATTTCTTTATGTTTAAGCCTGATTAGCACAGCTGATTAGCGTCCTAAAATCATAGGTTAGAATAAATAAAATACGCCGTTGTCAGATTTTATCGTTTATCTTTGAAATCGATCAACTTAGTCATTCTGTTTCTTTGATATTATCAGTAAATTACGAAAAAGAACCTAAACCAACCTAAACTAAAAATTTACATTTCCGTATTAACATACGTTACTTATTATATTCTTCTTATATTATTAATTTATTTTCAGAAAATCTTGTTTATTTTTCAAAGAAATATACTTGGCAACAGACAAAATGGGACTTGATGGGACCTTTAAATTTTAATATATCTGCGTCTCTCTTGCGAAATTCGACTTCTTTGTTCACTGTCGTCTCTTGTCTTATCTACTCTTTGCTATAGTCTAGAATTGACATCTTTAGAATCCATTGTTTTTAGCCCTGCTAGTCTGTGAAAATGGCAACTGATGTGGTCTCTCCTGCCACACTATAATGGATTGCCATTATTTCTGTTTGAAAAATTTGTGACATTCTTGGATGGCTTAGGGTGGCTGCAACGACGTCCCGTAATCCTGCGGTTAAAACATAACAGCTGGTTTTTATATAAAAACCAATTGTTATACCGTATGATCGAATAAAAACGGCGTCCAGTTGGCTTGGAAATGACGATCGATGGCATTTCCTATATAAATTTACATATAAAATGACAGCGATCTTCATTTCATAGCCATTGCTGACGCCGTTTTTATTCGATCATACGGTATTTTAACAGCAGGATTACGGGATGTCATTGCAGCCACCTTTACTGGGAAAGCTATTCCTTGTTTCAGCCCTTCAGGTTCTATTCAGATGCCTTCGTTCTTGAGCCATCTGAATACACCAGATTGCCTCAACTTAAATGGATGCACCGTTTTTGATAAAATGTCATATAAGACAATCTACTTTTGTCTCCATATATTCTTTCGCTTTTGGTTATAATTCTAGATTGTAATCAAGATTATTTTTTTATTAGGTAGCCATTCAACTCACCCTGCAAGACTTTAGCATTTTTAGACAGATAGAACCTACAGAATACATAGACGACTTATTTGAACTAAAATCGAAATACGGAACTGTGATGCTGGAACAATTCGCAGCTTTAGTAAATAAGGAGATGTTTTGGGTTGTTAGCGAGGTGTGCTCGGAACAGAACCCCGTTCGACGAATGAAAATTATTAAACAGTTCATTAAAGTAGCGCGTAAGTTAATTAATGCCATCAGAAAGTAAGTCTTTTTATAAAAATACTAATTTATAGGGCAATGTAAAGAATGTAAGAATTTTAACTCGATGTTCGCGATTATCAGCGGCCTTGGACATGGCGCAGTCTCTCGTTTGCGACAAACGTGGGATAAGTTACCAGGCAAATACCAGAGGATATTCACGGACCTGCAGCAGTTGATGGATCCCTCTAGGAACATGAGCAAATACCGGCAGTTGGTCAGTGCAGAGCAAACCCAACCTCCAATTGTAAGTATTTCACACAATTTTATCCAAACACGTAATTTTAATACTGGCTTTGTTCGTATTAAAAGTTATGAACCAGTTCAGGTATACAGGGTGTCCCAAGCTGAGCGTGCATTAGAAGTTTCTAGAGAACTACAATATCTAGGTCGGAGATTTTTTGCACGTTATTGTTTCACAACGAGATCTATCAATTAAAAACATTTTCAATATGGCGGCACTTCCGGAAATGCCGGAAGTTGACAGCAACTTTCTTATTTTAAATGGGTGCCCACATTTTTTATTACATACTTAAATTGTCTGTAAAATTTTATGAATTTTGATATTAAACACTCTATACCTAACATTAACCGTTTTTGTGAAAAAAAAATATTTAAAATTTTTGGACGAAAAAAACTGCCTGTAAAAAATATGTGTATGGCCTAAACGTCAACTTTAGTGATTACCACAGCCACTGTGCCATAAAGAGAAGACATGTGGCTATTTCAAAAATGAAATTGTTCGAATGTTGTACAATGGCGGTAGCTGTCATGGAATTGAGCGACTAAAAAATTATCATAAATCATTTTTTTTAAATGGAACCCCACTTTTTTTTATTTCACTAATGAAAAGGCTTTTCAATTCGTTACTTTTTGCGATCATGTTCTTATACCTATCTAAAATAAATTGTTTTTAAGTTATTTAAGATTTAGTTTTAAAGCGTATATTTTCTTGATTTTAACCAGTAGCCTATGACTTTAAACGTCAAGTGATGTAAAACAATAAATCTGGCCATGTCATCTTTGCTTGGCTTAGTTTAGTTTCGCTCGCAGTGGCCGCCCGCCTTTAAGGTAGGCAGTATTTATAATATAGGAAATTCAAATAATTCGTTTTCTGACAGATGGAAATAAATTGTCTGACTGGTTGACACTTAATGTCAAAGGAAGCTAGATAAAATCAAGAAAAATATACGTTTTCAAATTAAATTTTAAATAACTTAAAAATCATTTATCTTAGGTATAGGAACATGTATACTCAAAAAGTAACGAATTGGAAACCCTTTTCACTAAAACTGAAATAAAAAAGTGGGTTTCCATTTGAAAAAAAATGATTTATGATAATTTTTTAATGGCTACAATTCCATGACAGCTACCACCATTATTATGACATTTGAACAATTTAATTTTTGAAATAGATAGCCACATGTCTTCTGTTTATGTTACAGTGGCTGTGGTAATCACTAAATTAGACTTTTAAGCTATACAATTTTTTCTGAAAGGTAGTTTTTTTCCAAACCAAACCAAACCAAACCAATTTTTTTTTTCAAAAGCGGTTAATGTCAGATGTAGAGTGTTTAACATCAATATTCATAGAATTTTACAGAGAATTTAAGCATGTAATAAAAAATGGGGGCACCCATTTAAAATAAGAAAGTTGCTGTCAACATTCGGTATTTCCGGAAGTGCCGCCATATTAAAAATATTTTTATTCGCTAGATCTCCTTGTAAAACAATGATGTTCAAAAAATCTCCGATCTAGTGTGACGACTTTTTCTGTCATCACTCAAACAGAAAGAAAAAGGTATCCGTTGCTCAGGGTTAGAGGAGAGCTGGGTTCGTAGGTAAGACTTGTGACCTGTGGTGACTTAATAATGTTGTTAAATAATAAAATAAAAGTAATAATGTATAGGCTGCAAAGATTCTAAAATTGATGTTAAGTATTCAAATAGTAATGGTCAAAGACAGTAAAAAGGGCGCCACTTACTTTGGGTATGAAAAGGTAAAGTAAGAAACCAGTAAGAAAATTTGATCATGAAATAGCTAAAATAAAATAATCAACAGCAATAAGGGTCTATTATGTTCATCATTCAAATTCCAAAATTTTATGAAATACTAACAGTGCTACCCTGTATACTGAAATTATGTCCACTCTGTATATTCAAAATATAACCATACCTGTATATTTAAATCAAAATCGAAACGTCAATAAAAAATGTAGTCAGAAATACGTATTAAGTTATTTATCTGGGTTTTAAATAGATAAACAAACACCCTCAAGAATTTATAAAACAAAAAAATTGCTGTTGAACTGAAATTATTAGAATTTAATTACAGAAAAAATGAAAATAAAATTTCAAAACTATAGTCTTTGCCTTATAGAAAATTTATCTGAGCCTAACAAAAATTATTTTACAAAGTCTACCAAATAAGTGAAGCAAATTAAATTAAATTGAGCCAATTAAACTAAGTCGAGCCAATTAAACCAAGTAAAGCCCCACGTGACAGGGCGTCATATTCTTTATTCTTCTATTTGTGTGACGACTTTTTCTGTCATCACTCAAACAGAAAGAAAAAGGTATCCGTTGCTCAGGGTTAGAGGAGAGCTGGGTTCAGTAGGTAAGACTTGTGACCTGTGGTGACTTAATAATGTTGTTAAATAATAAAATATAAAGTAATAATGTATAGGCTGCAAAGATTCTAAAATTGATGTTAAGTATTAAATAGTAATGGTCAAAGACAGTAAAAAGGGCGCCACTTACTTTGAGTATGAAAAGGTAAAGTAAGAAACCAGTAAGAAAATTTGATCATGAAATAGCTAAAATAAAATAATCAACAGCAATAAGGGTCTATTATGTTCATCAAGAATAAAAGTCAGATATAACTATCCTACGTTGAACATTTATTTAAAGACGAACACAATTATCAATCAGTTTAAACCCAGTTTTAATTATCCCAATGAAATCGTTAGTTACTTTAAGTAAACTCAAATTTAGTTAAAGTTCTCTCCAGTATACTATACTACGTAATATATAAACAGGTGAAATTTATGTAAGTACCAATACGATGATGTTTGAAACAAGTCGTGTACAATAACCTTCAAAAATGAATCCGTGTTAGCGATTCTCACATAAAAGATCATACTGAAGTAAAACGTACCGTTAAGGACAAAGCATGACTTATAATGTTAACTAAAAGGTAAATTTTGACTATAATATATGGAATAAATGACAACAATTTACAGAGATATTCAAAATATTGTCTCAAAGTTAGGGAATACCTTGTGTGTTGAACTTAGAACTTATCTGTATTTTTTTTTTTTTTTTTGTGACGTAGTGAACAGGTAGGCAGGCAGTCTCCAGACTAACGGAAGAGGATGTAGACTCTTCGATAGTAGCAGGAGTCTTCGATATCAGTAGAATAAATGTAGAGTCATAAATACTGTCTCAAAAGTGGTTACTCATATGCCAATTACTTATACGTCAATTTCTTATACGCCAGTTACTGGTCTGAAAATCAGCTGTACACATTCCAAAATATAGCCAAACTATATGCTGATCCAAACCAGTAATGCACAATCAAACATTATCAAAATAAATAAAAAACGGGAATAATGTGATCTTATTCCAGGAAAAAAAAAACACGAACTAGGCTCTGAACAGTATATTCTACAGGATTTCAAATCTCCACCTTTGGATACCCGTGCCTTTACTGTTAGGAAAAGTGTTTCAGAAAGCCCTTTTCTCTGAGATTCGTCGGACGCTGAGCCACGCGTCTTTTCTGATCTCAATCTCTCGGAAAAAGCCTCCTTCCCTCTTTTCGCAAAACGGAAGTCTTAATTGACAGGTCATATGACCAAAGGCAATTAAGTGAACTCTATCGTCTATACTGAATGAAATTTGTTTTTATGGAAAGGAACCGCTACCTGTACTGAATGAAGTTTAACATCTAGCGAATAGATGGCGCCAGCAATATTAAAATTTGGAATTTTATAAAAAGAAAAATAAAACGCTACACTGCCCCCCTCCAAAAAAAAGAAAGGCCCTCAAAGAGGACTTTCGCCCAAACACCACATAGGAAAACTAAACTAAGTTTGTACAGGGTTTTGGATTTTTCAAATGAAAATTTGGTGGATGATAACTTCGTGTATCACACGTCCATAAAGGAGTCACTATTGGTAAGTCGCAATCGGTATGTCAAATCAGTGAGATTACACAATCGGGAAAGTCAAATCACCATATAATCCAAATAAAAACATTCATATAAACTATATATGAAAACTAAAACTAAATCTAAACCTAAAAGTATGGGATAGGAAAAGAAAGAAAGAAAGAATCCCATGGAAGCGCAGATGTTCCTGAAGAAATCCTCAAGCTGATTGTCCGTACTCAACCCACCTAGTGTGAGGCAACGAAAGATTCACAAATCGCGTGTAATCAGTCATGCGACCCCTCACACCCAAGGAAGCGGAGAACAAAACAAACAACAAAAGAACCTCAACAAAAGCCATGCTACGGATCACTATAAGAGGTAAGTTTGGCGTGACCAAAACAAACTACCTTCGCCACAACCTGTGTGCTCACCGGTTAACCATTCAAGGTAACTCACCTGTATGAGAAAAAGAAAGGAAAATAACAATAGAAATCACAATAGATAAACATATAAAGGAAGAGAGAAAAGATTGTCACGAATGACCCAAAATATCCGTAACATAGGATTCCAGCCTATGAAACGCTATTGCAAATATGGAAAGAAAATCACAATCATACCCAATACACAGTAAACTTACGAAGTTATGAGGTCAGCTATGTCTCACCATTAGGTTGCAATCAGAATCATAACAACTTTTCGTTTTGTCACGAAGTCGTGTTCTCAAAATACAAGAATTGCTTAAATTTCAGATTCTTGTGAACTGAATGTCATAGAATGGAGCAAATGGCACAAAACCATATGAGTGATTAACAGAATTACCATCCCACAAAATATTTACTCAAAATTAGGTAATCTGTAGAATACTCGGAAAAAGAAAAATACTGCTATATGCTCGCATTTCTAAATAGAAATACTATATTATACTGAAAATATACGCAAAAAAACTAAATAACACAATAGTTATGCTGATTCGCGACAAATCCGTAAAAACGATAAGCGAATTGTTGTATAACTTTTTAATATAAACTAAAAAAACTAAAATATAATCTATGTATCCTTTAGACTAAACCCTAAAAAGGAATCGGACATAATAGATTA